CCCCCCAAAAAAAAATGGAAGACAGGAATAAAAGGAGTGGTAGAGGTACTGCATGTTTTGGTAGTAGGTAGCGGGCGCTGCTGATCTGCCCTCTTACTCTTCCTCCTCCTCAAGGGTGCATTGCAGGCACTTCCTTTTGTAGTGCTGCTAATGCATTTTTTTCCTCCTCCTCAAAGGTGCATTGCAGCTACCCTTCCCGCAAGTTCTGCTAATGCACTTTTTTTCTCCTCGTTTGCTAATCATATCATAGGACCGCCAACTGGCTATTAGCACTCATTGGAATTATTTGATCACTGCTATCCCTGCATTGTTCTTTAAAGCCTTTTTTAAATGCATCTGCTGCTGGAGTTTTAGAAAAAAAAGTCTATAAATCACCCCATGCCCAGTATCTGTTTGCAAGCATTGCAAAACACTTCCTTCAATGGGTTTTTGGCATGTGCTACACCACCATCTCAGGTACCCAGCAGTCATTATTATTCCCAGAAGGCTAAACATCAGTTGCCATTATCTTGCACAGAAGGCCATCCCCACCCTCCACCAGCATGTGGAATACCATGAGGCAGGGGAGAATTAGTCATCTGACTAAGTTTAAAGGCCAGGAACTGCAATGTTAGTAGTTGGTTCCTATGGTTATGAAATCCTGCATTAATTCCCTGGATCCGCAACACGAGTCTCATCTTGCACCCATGTTGATCCCGAACCTGAATGTCATCCCTAGCCACTACAGTGCTTTTGAGAAGTTCACAATCTGCAAAATGTTGGCCAAGAAGTTTTACGGATTCACTGCCATAAATAAAGAACAACCCTTTAATGCAGTGCATAGCCTTTGACGCAGATTAGCTAAATCACAAAAGACTATAATTTGAAGGAATGGATAACCCACACCCCTTCCTACCAAAGGATGGGCTTACAGCAGCCATATTGTAGTGTGTGTAGGAGCTGACAGTTCTGTGTAGGGAGATATACAGTTTTTTTTATTTTTATATTTGATTTTGTTTACATTTTTTTGCATTGGTACATGTCCTCTGAGGCAGTGCCTGGTTTCCTATGCCTTTTGTTTGCAAGTAGCTTACATATTAGCTCTACAAATTGGCAGAATTGAATAAGATTCTGTGGGGTTATCGACAATGTTATGAACTTTAAACAAGATGCGCAAAACTGTTCACCAACAGAACCCAGGCTGATCCGCTCGTCCCTAGAAATCTGATTTTCAGCTCAACCTAACTGTTAAGTTTCAGTTAAGTATACAGGTATCTAACTTTTTAACTTTTTTCCTACGTTATTGTGTTAATAAACTGATGAGGAGGAACAGTTTTATTTTAAAAAGAGAAATGTTTGTTTGTGATCTTGCAAACAAACTTCTAGTGATCACCGTGATTGGCTGTCAGGGTGATCACTTGATCAGAAACCATGCTGACACACAGGTACGCACTGCTAGTTCACATCTGCGACATTATTAACATTTTCACAGCACAGGGAACTATGCCTGAAAATGTTAATATACAGATTGCAGTTGTCTATGCCCAACTGCAGCTTTGTTTGTACCTCCACTGGATTGCAGAGAAGTGAGTACTGCAGTAGGAACTGCTTATTATTTTAATATTTTAAATAACCCTATTGGGGCTCTTTGTTTTATATCATATGCTGGAGTTCATTACTAACTATTAATTCTATCTCTTATTTGCACAGCTGGAGAGCACTGGAGCATCAATCCCACCGTCAGACTGTCTAAAAGGCACTGTTTTTATTGATAAAACAGTGGGAAATGAAACCTTCTTCTTGGTAACCTGGCAGTCTGCTGTACCCAGTATTGACTTGGTGAATCCAAAGGGAGTGTTATACACTGCAAAACACTTCACAAATGACACAGCCACAAAAGCTTCCAGGCTTCAGATTCCAGGAACAGCAGAGGTAATTCATCTGTTTATTTTCATTCATCAAAATGACTAAAAAATTAATATTGGTTGTATAAAAGAAGGTTGTATATCATTCAGAAAAAATAGCCCAGTTCTTTAAAATGCTAACCTTTCCTTGCATGAAGTTAAAACTCTGACTATCCCTAGGCGACCACAATTCATTTTTGTAGCTGTTCAGTCCAGTGCTGAAGTGCTCCTCTCTCCGTCCTCCTGTCCCTACCCCACATGCCTTGTCCGCTTTGCAGTGCTTCAGGTTGGCAATAAATGGCACACCGCCTGCCTGCTCTAATAAGCTGGAGTAATTTTTTTTCCGCCTTGTCTGGAGCTTTGTTTTGGACCTGCCATTAGGAGGACAAGTGTGAGCTCAGAGCAAAGTAAAAAACAATGCAGAGGCTACCACCACTGAACATAAGGGTGACCACTACTGGATTCAAGAACCTACCAACACTACACCCAGTAATTCACAGTTAAATAAAACCAAATGTGTTTATTTATACATGTATATAAAAGGTATTATAGAACAACGAACAACAACAGTACACAATGTAAAAGTATATGTCCCAACATAGACATATGCATTGCATAGTTTGCTCAATAAGATATACTTCCCAGAGCCAAGTTTGCTCAAAAGGAATATTTTGTGTTTATCAATATACCAAAGTCCATCAAATATGAAGAAATGACAAGTGGTCTGATCTTCAACGCATTTTGCATATGCTTCTTCGGGAAGAAATGGAGATAATTTCAAAATAGAACATTATTGCATATGCGTTCAGTGGCAGAACTACCGCCATAGCGACCCATGTGGCCGCTATGGGGCCAGGGACAGAGGGGGCCTGGTCAGAAGCAGAGCTAATAGTCCTCCCGGCCTGACCGGGGCCGTGCAACATTGGGACAGACAGGTAGGGGAGGAGGGGGTGATGTGTTCTCCCTGTGCTCTGTGTTCAGCTGGGAAAGTCTTGGCTGCTGCTGAGCACATCGAGAACTTCTCCCGCCGGAGTGATTTACATACACAGAGCAGCCGATCTGTTCCCCCCTTTCCTCTAGACTGGCCCTGGCTGAAATCAGTGTGGAGGTGAGTGAGAGCTGACAGCTCCGAGCTGTGTGTGTGTTGGGCGCGAGAAAGGTTGAAGAGGGCCTGGGAGTTTACAAGTGACCCTGTGGGACGGTGTCATAATAATAATAATAACAACAATAATAATAATAAAACATTTTAAATAATTGGAGGTTTATAGCATTATCCATTTATTATTTTAGTTATTTTTAGATTTTGTATTCAAAAATCTTATTTAAAAAAACAGCACTTAAAATTAAGCCTTTTCAAATCTGAAAATACATATTTCCATGCATGAAGCTTTATCGTGTGGTCTCAGCAGTATTATTGTGAAAAGTAAAAGCTATTTCTTTACTGTTATACATCTTAGGTAATGTATTGCCTTTTATTCTACTTGCAGATAGGACCCTGGCGCTACACTGTTTGCAATCTTCTTACAGCGAGTCAAGCTATTGGCATAACTGTGACTTCCAAAGCTGTAAACAAAGATGTGCCCCCAGTTACTGTAAATGCACATATGGATAAAGATGCTAATGACTACCCAAAACCAATGGTTGTATATGCCTCTGTTAGTCAAGGGTTTGTGCCAATAATAAATGCAAAGGTCACAGCAATCATTGAACCAACAACCGGAGCTCCATTTCTTTTAGATCTTCTGGATAATGGGTCAGGTGAGTTTGAAAGTTATTAAGCTGGCCATATACGCTGGAGTCAACACGAGAAATCACTTGATCCCCCCTACTTACACTAAACAGTGTGGATGGATGCTTTTCCCCTGCTGGCTATTGTATTCTGACACATCTTGGCACCCAAAGCTGATTGGCTGCAGTCATTATTGATGCCAACTTTTTTGAGCTTAGCTTCTTCGATTTCTCAGTTCAGTTTTGCAAGCTGGGTGGTGTCAGCAGCTGAGAGTCATGTATTGCCTGCTTTATGCCTGGAAAAATGAAGCATTCAAAGACTACAGCTACTGGAATATAACATGCATGATTACCATGTGTCATTAAACATAGTGCAAAAAATAGGCATGTATGTAAGGTGAGTTAGAGTAAACAAGTATGGTGGCCCTTTCTAAACTTGTGCACCCAGGGCTATCGCCCATTTTTTCCCATACTTTTTAGGCAATCTTTATGGGTGCCACATAAATGTCTATGGATGAACTACACTTTGCTTATTCATATTTTCACATGTGTAATATAAGAGACAGCTTAGATGTTCAATAACTCAAAGCAACTCAAAGCAGAAATGGACTTTACTTTTGTAAATCTGAAAGAAAACCTGTTATTGCAGAAAGATTTGGTCGGCCTTTACAGAGTTCTGAAAATATCTGTTATGCTAAAAATATCTGCTATGCTGATACAGTGTTTAGTTTCAGTTCTTTGCGAGTCACTTTCATTTTTTTAACACACCCCGATGCAATGCATTGGGATAATTAGGTTCTGTGAGTCATAAAGGATTCTGCCTGTTTAAGACAATATAGTAAATGTATGGAAAAACTGTAATATATTGTAGCACCAGACCTTAGATGTGAACACAGCATTAGTTTTCTTCTTTTCAGTCTTTTTTTCTTTGTTTTCACTTGGTAATCGTGCCAATGACACACTTCCTGTCCTTGGGCTGCCACTTTTGCTCCTCCACTGTATATTTTTTTGGGGTAGTCATGGTTGCCACCAAGGCTGGACTACTAATAATAATCTTTGTTCATCTCCATTACATGGTGCCTGATGAGATTATTAGTTTACATAAAAAAAGTTAACAAGTGACAAACGACACCCCATATCAACTGATATTTTCTGTACTTGCTGTTCCTATCCAGAAAAATTAAAGTTACATTCAGCCACCATATATTCTTCTTGGGTTTAGTTATGCATTAAAGTAGTATTAAACTCACAAACTATTTTTCAATAATGAATCCAGATTAAACAAATATACATCACCCAGCAAAGGATTGCTTTACATTTTTGCTCAAGCACTTACAATCATGTTTCTGAAAAGCTGCTTTCAAGTCTCGCATCTCAGCTTCCCTAAACTTCCTGTCCAGTACAAGATCACAGCCGACAGTGCAGACTCCAGGAACTGTTCATCTACTAGTTTGGAGAGGGGGGAGGGGAGTAGCTTGATTTGCTGTGTCTGTGTGTTTGTAGAATACCATAAAGTCACTCACACTCTGTTTGTAGATAGCAGTCACACTGTTGTTTGCCTGAAGAAGGGACTATCTGGTCCAGAAACATCGCTTTGTGTATGTGACATCATGCTCAGTCAATAAAGGAGATTGACTACTATCTACAAGCAGAGTGTGAGTGACGTTATGGTATTTTGCATTTGATGTGCGGAGACATTCGCTGTCACTTTCAGCACCTCCAGTTTTCGTTTAGGCTTTATCCGGTCAGGTGTGCGATGGGATCTACTACATTTTGTGTGTCACTTTCAGCACCTCCAGTTTTCGTTTAGGCTTTATCCGGTCAGGAGTGCGATGGGATCTACTACATTTTGTGTGTTTGTAGAGACACGCACCTCTTATTAACACACACAATGGGGACTGCATAGCACTCTATTGAGAAAGGAGTCACTCTAAAACAGGAAGCCAGCACCAGTGCTCAGGGGATCAGCTGATTTTGCAGGAAACTTAAACTTTTCAACATCAACAGCATCCATTGTAAGTTATTTCATCAGCATTTGAAATAGCTTAAAATCCTTTTGATTTGATCCATTTATGCTAAACTGTATACAGTATAAGATCTAACAATAAACATTTACTCTTTTGCTCCCCTTTGGGCTGTTAACTATTTACCATTGAACATGTTTTGCTGTTTCTGTACAATAAGTGCAGAAAAATACCTCTTGATCCTTTTAGAAATTCATTGCTGTCCTGGGTTCTGTACACTCTGCCTCTGTTATTTCAATAAGAGTAATCAGTTCTTCTAGTTATTCCCTTGGACACAGAACATATTAACTTATGTTATGGAAATGGAGCGCAGTTGAAGTAGTCTGTAGCCTGCGGCTGGCACCATTCCTTAGTATTTTAGTCTAGCAAAGGCACTGTGTAGCCAGCGGACAACAGGAGATTAGGAGCTAAGTGTATTTCTGTCAAGATCACCATGGGGTCTATTCACTAAGCTGCCGTAGGCAGGCGAGTGAATGACCGACCTGAAGCAAAGTGAGCCGAATGCTGTTTGGCTATTTACTTCAGGCTGGTACGGCTGATTCCAGCCGTATATCGGCTGAAATCAGCCGTACATCGGGTGGCTTCGGGTCGGCCAACATGCCCAGCATGTTCGTCCGACCCGAAGTGCAAAAGGAGTTCGACTTAACCGATCCAACAACTGGATCGGCTAAGCCGAACCTCCGGCAGGCTACTCGCTGATGTTCGGTCTATTCTTATAGATGCCGAACAGCAGTGAGTGAATAGCTGAATGGCTCTGTGGGACCAAGCAGAACAGAAAAATAGTTAAAAAAGTAGAAAAATAAAAATAGAAAACGATTGTGCGGAGCTAGCAATGACAGCTAGCTCTGCCCAACAGTTTTCTATTGGCCGGCGGTTCTGCTGCCGTCAAAAAAAAGAAAAAAAAGATTTGGCCATAGGAATGCATTGCTAGATTCCTATTGGCTATTTCAATTTGCAATAGCCAATAGCAAACTAGCTCCGTGTCAGCATAAAAAAGAAAAAAAGAGAAAAAGCAGTGTTTCTCTGCTGGGCGGCCGGGAGACTCCCGGAGCGCCCGGGAAAGTTAGGCTGTCTCTAACGCTGATCTCTCTGCAAGTGGCCAGAGCCAGCTGTAAGATCACGCTGGCTCCGCCCAGCTGTCAGAAGCAGGCTGTTGGCCGGCCAATCGCCCAGCTTCAGTTTTCTCCTTGGCTCAGTCAAGCCGAAGCATATGCCTTCGGCTCGTCTGAGCCGCCCGGCCGACTTCGGGAGCTGTACGGGCTATAGTGAATAGCCCGTACAGCAGCCCTTTGGTTGTACTGAACCAAAGGGGTCCTGGGGCCGAAGCTAGCCGAAGGATTGGCCGAAGCTACGGCTAGATCCTTCGGCTGCTTCGTGAATAGACCCCCATGTGTTTTTCAGTAGTTGCAGGGTCTTTAAAGGGAGAAAACATAGGAAAACGTGGATATATTTAGAGCTATACTTTTAGTTTTGCCCTTAGTTATATTATAAACTTTATTTTAAACCTCTTCAAATTCTGTAAAATTTTAGTACATAGTAGAATTTTGAGCATGAAAGGTTTCCTGTTTTTTTGCAGGTCCTGACATTGTTAAGAATGATGGTATCTACTCAAGATATTTAACCGCTTTCACGGTTAATGGAAGATACAGTTTAAAAGTCCATGTTGAAAGTAGGGACAAGAAAGCTCGATTGGCACTGCCCCGAAATCGTGCCCTGTATGTCCCAGGCTACGTAGATAATGGTAAGACCAATGTACTGTATGCACATATTATCACCATTTTAGATTGTAAGCCCTCACGCGTAGGGCCCTCTTTACCATCTTGTCTTGAATTGTATTGTAATTGTAATGTCTTCCTTATATTGTAAAGCACTGCTCAAACTGTATGCGCTATATAAATCCTGTATAATATTAATAATAATAATGAAATTGAGTATAGGAAACATGAAAGCGGAAACCACAGCAACCAATCAAGTGCTTTCATTGACACATCTATTGCACAACTTAATTGCTATTAACAATAAATTTTGTTTTCTTTCTTCTGGTTTCCCCTTTGTAGCATAAAGGTAACCTCTACATTTTATGTGTGTATATAATATGCTGTATGTTTTTTGGGATTTTATTAGCATTTCATTCAAAATTTACAATAGCCAGTAAGCCATGGAATTTTTTTTTTTTTTTTAGGTCAAGTCATTATGAATCCTTCAAGGCCAGAAATCAGTGAAGAGGAACTAAATGTAGGATTATTCTCTAGAGCTGCATTAGGTGGTTCATTTGTGGTATCTAAGGTGCCTTCAGGTTCCAAACCAGACATCTACAAGCCTGAAAAAATAACCGACTTGGTAGCAAAGATAGAAGGAGACCAAATTGGGTTATCCTGGACAGCAACTGGTGATGATCTGGACCAGGGCAATGGTAAGTAGTCCTTGCAAAGTGCTATTCCTTCCCCAAGCTTATTGAAGTCTAATAAAGTCCGGGGACAAGGGTTGTCATCTTCTACAGGAACCTGCTGGATCTTCACCATTTTTAGACTGCTATCAATTAGTTTGAGACATACAAATACCTTCTGTTTTAAGAAGGCCCTTTGTGTAACATCATTGTGCAAATTTTGCATGTAGCCTGAAATTCCAATTTTAGGATACTGCATAGAGCTATACAAACCATTCTGTTATGCACCATGGCTAAGCATACATCCAGAACTGCTGGTGTATAGCACAGATACAGACTAATATTATAGAGCCATTTATTTCAAACAAAATAGAGCTGTTTCAGGTTTGTTGGTAATCATCAGCATGGAAATAATTGCATCTATAAAGTATGGCTTGGGGACAAACAAGAAAGTATAACCCAGAATAGTATAGGGAGAGGGTACAAAAGGAACCAAAAAGCTCTGCACTAACCAATTGCAAATATATGGGAAGCCCCACTGACACTCCAAGGCACCTTTGCAAAGTTTGGTTCTTAAAGGGTAATTCTACTTTACCAGGTGAATTTGGGAAAATGGAATTTCCTTCTCCACTCTGGCTCCCTCCCCCTCCCCTTGCTATACATGTACTGCTGTGTAGCGTAGCCCTGTGATCTGAATTTTGAATTTCACAAATAGTAAGCACTCATTAGTCAGCACGGTCACCTGAGCTGGGAACAATCTATATTGTTATGGACACCAATACTGAATTCATGAAGCACCTGCATAATAATCTGTAATTACTGGTGATACAAGTCAGACTGTGAGGGCAGTATAGATGTTTGAGATCATGTATTATATTTTGTTTTATGGGTAAATACTATTAATTACTTGTTTTTCAGCTACCATGTATGACTTAAGAATGAATGTGAATCCTAAGGATCTCAGAGAAAATTTTAACGGCTCAGTGAAAGTGGACATCAATCACGTTACACCTCTTCCTTCTGGATCTACTGAAATGTTCACATTTGTACCAGAAAATGTAGATATCAAGAATGGGACTATCCTGTACTTTGCCTTGATTGCTATTGATAAAGTGGGTCATAGATCTGATCTGTCTAATGTAGCCCAAGCAGCTCTTTTCATTCCTCCAACACCTGAACCTCCTCCACCATCTGAACCACCTTCAAACGACAATCCAGATAACCAAAATTCAGTAGTATTGCTGACACTGATAGTATGTTCAGCAGTTATCGTCATCTGTATTATTATAAGTATAACTGTCTGTTGTGTGAGCTGTCATAAGAAGAAAAGGAAGCCAGAAATAAGAATCTGAAACAAATTATGAACACTGCTGTAATAGGACTAATTGTACAAATATGAACCTTATAATCTTACATGCATGAACAGGAAACGTGTTAGGCCAAATTGATCAAGGTGTCTGAAAGAACTTTCTCTGCTGTCCATCTCTCGGGCACTCATACACATTATTGCTTTAATTTCTTCACCTAAACTAGAGGAACAAAATCAAACATCTGAATGGAGTTAATTAAGACACGTTCTCTTCAGTGTTGCATCCTGACAGTTTTTCAGGCTCCGTCTTTCAGTGATGGAAATATAATGTCCAATTAATATAAGCAGTTAGGAAAAATTAGACTCACGCTGTACTTTGAGGGCCAAAATACACTGCAATGCATAATACCGTCTCTGTTGTACCACAGTGCCATACCATGCATTGTGATGAGTTGCATCGTAAAAAATGCTGCATGTCTATTTTTTGTCTATTCTTGTGCTATGGCAACACATTTAAAATGATTGGGCTACTTTAATGCAAAATGTATTACGTGTTTTAATGCAATCCACATGGTCAGAGAAATTTGACTGGGTCCTTACTGTTTTTGACTGCCTCATTGGTAACAATTTCACACATTGCCAGTTATACTCAGTTAGTGCAGAAGTTGGAGAGACCCTATTGCTTAAGAAAAACTTTGGAGCAAAGCATGTACCTATAAAGAAGAAACAGAATATTTACTTGTCCTGCTGCCCGTGCCACAGATTGCCTCTCTGTTGCTGAGAAATTGGCCCTCGGAAGTCTACTGAGAAACTGATACCTCCAGGAATTTTGTCAATTATAAATCAAGGCAACTAGACATGCTGTATTTTTCTTAAAGACATTTCACTGGCCATTCGATCAGCTTTCTCAATTCAGAATGACTTGTAAAATTATCTGGGAATAAATATGATGAATGTTGCTCCATTCCACATAATCTGTTAATAACACTTGCTAGCTCCAATTATGCAAATGTAATCAAAACCTTTTTTTTACTTATGTGGCAGGGACTCCAGACAAATGTAAAAAAACAACCTAATTAATGCAGATAGGTATTCCTTAAAACAATCATTAAAGGGCTTTATAACAAGCAGTGTAAGTATATACTGTATATCTTAGGCATGGTATCAGCCTCTATCCTCTGCACAGCAGTACCCAGAGAGAGGGAGGGCCTAGCCCGGCACTCCAGCATGCACATACAGTAGAGAAAAGTCAAGTCACCTGCATATTTAGCTGTTTGTCTGATGTTCAACATTAACTGTCAATAAAAACGAGCATTTAGAGGCACCATTGCAAAGGTATCTGAACATCAGAATAACTACCATTTAATGCCGTTGTGTACTCCTTTTTGACCACAATCAGCATGTGTACCTGAATATGTCTTGATAATGGCTTCTGCCATCTTTTGTGCAGCAGCACTGGAAGACTGGGAGATGGAGGGGCAGCACAAGGAGCTAATCAGGCACATGTGCTGACCGGAGGAGGGAACATCAGATTAAGATCTATACAGCTGTTGCATCTGTTAGCCTGCCATTGCTTTTTTACAGGCTGCTGGCGGCACTCAGCGCGTTACTCCTGGGTACATAAACACACACGTGTACGACCCTTGGTGGCCATGTAAATGAACCCTAATACTCTGAATTCAATTATAAATGACTGTATGGTGAATGTAAACCTATGGATTCTTCAATTGTATATGTAATTAGACACAGTGGAGACATTTCCCTATGTCCTAGAAAATCTCATTATAGCTTTTCATTTGTTTACAGTACATGTAGGTTGGCTTGTAGAAAACAACTTTAACTGAATATTGCAGAGGCACTTTTTCAGAAATGTTACCTGTAATGCATTGCCAATATACAATACAGTATGATATACAGTGTGTTTCTGTGAATCAAACTGTGTAATAATAAGGTAAATTTTCATTAAACGATTTATGTTTTTAACGATAATGTTCAGTTGTTTCAATCTACCTCTTTTATTATGACATTTTGAAGTTTATTGTCATTCATTTCACTTTATCCTCAGAGTAGAATCATTGTAGAGTTAGCATTTTCTCATGAAACATTTCCCAGTACTGCTTGAGAAATACGGGTATTACCATGGTTGTAGACAGAGGCGGCTCTAGACCTTGTAAGGCCTTAGGTGAAACTCAAATGTGAGGCCCCCCTTACACCCATAAGTAAAAAAAAATGCAAACAATAATACAATTTGAACTGTATAAATTGCATATTTTAAGACCAGCCTTAAATCCCAGAAACTAGGAATTCACAGCTCTTAGAGCTAGAATTGTATTTCTGTCTCATATCTATTTCTACAAATATCTATAACGTGGTCAGGCATGTTGGTACAGTGGGCAGTCAGTGGTCAGGCATGTCGATACAGTGGGAAGTCAGTGGTCAGACATGTTGGCACAGTGGGCGGTCAGTGGTCAGGCATGCTGGCACAATGGGCAGTCAGTGGTCAGGCAAGGGCAAGTTGGTACCGTGGGTGGTCAGTGGTCAGGCAAGTCAGCCCACTGGGCAGTCAATGGTAAAGCATGCTGGTACAGTGAATGGTCTGTGGTCAGGCATGTCGATACAGTTGGCAATCAGCGGTCAGACATGTCTGTACAGTGGGCGGTCAGGCATGTAGATACAGTGGGTGGTCAGCAGTCAGGCATGTCGATACAATTGGCGGTCAGGCATGCCTGTACAATGGGCGGTCACCGGTCAGGCATGTCTGCACAGTGGGCGGTCACCGGTCAGGCATGTCTGCACAGTGGGCGGTCAGTGGTTAGGCATGTCTGTACAGTGGTGGTCCGTGGTCAAGCACATCGGTAGAGTGGGTGGTCAGTGGTCAGACATGTCCATGCAGTGGGCGGTCAGTGGTCAGGCATATGGATACAGTGTGCGGTCAGCGGTCAGGTATGTTGGTACAGTGGGCAGTCATTGATCAGGCATATCATTGAACAATACAGGATACAGCAGTCGGAGTGAGACTCTGTAGGCAAAGTATAGACTCAAGAGAGATTTCATCAGTAGGGTCTGTAAAAGGTGTAAGATGCCAGCTGGTGGCTGATATGGCTGCTGCGCATGTTTTTTTTTATTTTTATGCGTGCATGTGGATTTTGGAGGTTTGTTGCCTCCGAATCCGAAACAGCATAATTTTTTGTTTCATCAAATGAAATGATTGAAAAGGTTTTACCCTTTACATTCAATTCGACTGAAACTAATTGCGTTGCGGTAGGAACGCGATTGTGTGCACAGCAAAAAGGGGAGGCATGCCTTACTTTTTTCAACGCAGCAAGATGCGACATGCCTCATACCCTGCTGTGTCCATAGAACTGAATTAAATGTCACTTATGACATTTCAACCAAGTTCTAACAAAAAACAAAAGAACTTTAAAAAAAAGAACAAAAGATTTTTTTACATAGTAAATCCCTAGCACTTATTGACATTCATCTCATAGCAGGAGTATTACCTTAATGCATTAGGGGGCCATTCAAAATGAATGGCAACGCAGCACACCAATGCAAGTATCGTGCTTTACCGAACAGCAGTGGTGTGAAGCCGACCTTATACTATCATATATGCTGCATGTCAGCCTCCTTCTGGCAGTAATAAAGTACAATTTAAAAAAAGAATGTAAAATAATAAAAACAAAAGAACCCTGCACACATACATAAAAAAGAACACAGTTATGACACACTCATATACTTAAATGCCATAGGCATAGGCAGAAGGATAAATTTAGGAGCATAATTTTGGTTTTACTCTAAATTGATAAGCTGGAGGTTTGTAACGCGTCACCTATTTACAAATATAAGTATTATATTGTATGCTCTTTTTCAAACGCATATAGTTTTGAATCTGATTATATTTGCTATAATCTCTGATCCTGTGACTAGCAATGCAGCTAGAATGTACCGCTCCCCCTTAGGGCCTCATTCACACTACTAAGAGCCGGCCCATACAGATCTGTGCGTCGTGCACGGCCGTATCGGGCCGCTCACACGCAGCACCTGTCCTTCCCAGGAGCGGCCCGACACGGCCGTGCACGCCGCACAGATCTGTATGGGCTGGCTCTCACCAGTGTGTGACCACTTCTTCTCACTATATCACTCTGACAAGCAGTGAAAAATTCACAACTGCAGTCTGATGATCTGGTAATCACTACATCACCATAGTCACACTGTTAGAGAGTCATACAAATGGTGGAACACCTTACAATCTATTAAAGTAGAAGGGAGGATACAGAAGGTCGGAGACCCTACAATTTTTTAGGGTATAAAGGAGGCATACAGAAGGTAGGAGAGCTAACAATCTATTATGGTGTAAAGGAAGGGTACAGAAGGTGAGAGAGCTCACAATCTATTAGGGTATAACAGAAGATACAAGAGGTGGGAGAGCTTACAGTCTATTAGGGTAGACAGGAGGATATAGAAGGTGGGAAAGCTTGCAATCTATCCGGGTATACTGTAAGGGAGGATACAGAAGGTGGAAAAGCTTACACTCTATTAGGGTATAAGGGAGGATACAGAAGGTGGTGGAACTTACAATCTATTAAGGTATAAGGGAGGATATAGAAGGTGGTAGAGCTGACAGTCTATTAGGTTATAAGGGAGGATACAGAAGGTGGTGGAACTTACAATATATTAGGGTATAAGGGAGGATACAGAAGGTGGTAGAGCTTAAAGTCTATTAGAGTATAAGGGAGGATACAGAAGGTGGTGGAACTTACAATTTATTAGGGTATAAGGGAGGATAAAAAAGGTGGTAGAGCTTACGGTCTATTAGGGTATAAGGGAGGATACAGAAGGTGGTGGAATGTAAAGGCTACTAAGGTAAAAGGGGAAATACAGAAGGTGGAAGAACTTGCACTCTTATTAAGCTATAAGGGACGGTACAGAAGGTAAAATAGTTTACAATCCATCAGAGAATAAAGCAGTTATATAGAGGATTTCCTTGAAATGAAAACCTGCGTGGAATATTTGTATATTGTTGGAATATGTGAACATGGGCAT